GATTGCAGCATGGAGGCAGGGGTGTGGCAGGTTTTATAGAAATTTAAAGCGACCTGTCGGTTACCTATTGGTTGGCAGGTGAGGTATTTTTGGGATTGGCAGGGGCTTTCGCAGGCGCGGGAATGGTGGGCTTTGTTGTGGAAGAATAACCCGGAAGGCCTTGTTCGAGCCTCCATGTTAGTTTGTCCGGGTGCCTTCTTAGGCGGGAGCTCCATTTTAGGTGGGGGCCACGCCTAGGCTTAGTTTTTGGAGGGGGCGGGTTCCTCATCGTGGTTGGCTGGGGCCTTTCACTTACGATGTGCCAAAAATTGTTCTAGGTTCTGGGAATATAGCCATGAACAAAGAGACAAAAATCTCTATCTTGTAGAGCTTACGTTTTTAGTGGGGAAAGACAGGCAAAAGAATAGAGAAGTAAAATTAGAAAGAGGCCACATGGTGGGAAGTGCTAGTGGAGAGAGATAGAAAGTGCTGTGGGGTGCTGGGGAGGAAAGGTCAGTAATGCTACTTGGAAGAGGTGATATTTTAGAAAAACTCTGAAGGAGGGGAGGGTGAGCCTCCAGCCATTGGGGGGGAGAGTCTTCCAGGCAGAGGCAGTGGCAAGTGCAAAGGCCCTGAGACTGGACTGTGGTTAGAGGGGGTGAGAGGAAAGAAACGACATGGGATTTGGTTGTGCAGGGCCTTATAAACCAGGGGAGGGCTTTTAGCCTTAGTCAAAGAAAATAAAAATGGGGGGCATGCAATCGGACTTCTATTTGTCAAAGGTCACTAGAGGGCTGTATTTATTGCTGAAAGATTCTGTGGTTGGATTGGGAGGTGGTATCTGGTTTGAGTGAGTCCTGAACACTGTCTCAGCTCTCTGCATCACTTCACCTCTCTGAACCTCAGTGTCCCCAGCTGGAGGCTGCGTGGTGAAGAAATGATGCATCATCAGGCTCCTCTGAACTAACCACAAGACTTCTTTCCAGGGACCCCTGGAAAGCAAGTGTGTGCTGCCCTTGATACCTTCAAAGCCAATGCCTGCTGAGCACGCTCTGCCTGAGGTACTGCAATGACAAAAGAGCAGCAAGAGACAACGGGACTCAGTTTGGTCTTCAAAGCATGGCAGGAAGGTTGTGGGGCCAGGGTCTTTTCTAACCTCTTGGAAGACCAGCTCTCTGAGGGCAAAATGAGTGGTACTGTAGATATCAAACACACAATGTCAGAAGATTGTTACAATGGTACCAATGGCTAACAACTATGTCAACTACCCAGTGAGGTTGAAATTAGAGCTGGGGTCAAACTGACAGCTGACGAGAAGCCCTGGCCACACAGACTTCTGGGATGCAGTGACTGGAAGCAAAGAGAAGGAGCTGGTCACACAGCTCCTGGGCTCAGAAATCAGAGACTCTGCGATGGTAGGAGGAGGATGTACCAAGGGCTCTGGGGTGGCTCTGGGCTCTTGGTCTTCCTTTGGCCTCTCAAGGCACTTGTCTGTGGGTAGAAACAATCTTTAGAAGGAGGATGGAAAACCAAATACCCCGTGTTCTCACTTATAAATGGGAACCAAGCTAAGGGTCGCCAAAGGCATATAGGATTGCTCAATGGTCATTGGAGACCCAGAAGTGGGGAGGAAGGGAGTGGGGGTAAGGGTTGGAAAATTACTCGTCGTGTAAAATGTACACTATTCAACGGATGGGTGTGCTAAAACTCCAGACTTCACCACCATACAATACATCCGTGTAACCAAAAACCACTTGAACACCTAAAGCTATGGAAATAAAAAATGAAAAAAATGAAAAAGAGGAGAATGACTGGTTGTTCTGGGGAGTCAGTCTGGGACCCCAGTTCAGCTTCAGGACAGTGATGTGTCCCTGGCAGCCCCAGGAGCCCTGCTGGGGGTTGTCCTCCAGCAGAGACTCCTCAACTCTGCCCACAGGCAGCCCAGGGGGGAGATGAGGGGGTTATGTAGGTGGTGGAGATGGTGAGGGCAGAGAGGAGGAAGAGCTGGCTGAGCTAGGAGGGGACTCCCCCACCATGGTTAGACCTGTTCTACTGAGCTGTTTTATTTTCTGGGGCTTCCTCATGAATTTCAATTTATGAAACAGTTCGGCAACTTAATAAAAAAGCCATGTACGACCCCTATAGGGGCTCTTCTCCGTGAAGACCATGCCTCCGGCACTTGGTTCTACTTCCTGGAGTTTGCCATGTGGTGTCACTGTGTCACTGGCTCATATTTTCTGAGAAAGTGTTTTACAAATGGGACCTGAGTGCCAAGTCTCAGTACTTTAGTGGGCATCTCTTTCTTAATGGCAGCGTTCTGGCTAGCAAATGGAATTGAGTGGTTGTGGCCCTCCACCCAGATGTGCTGTTTAAGCAGAATCTTTCCAACTACTGGGCAGGGAAAAGGAGGGTCCGCTGGGAGGGGCTGCTGCTGGAGGAGTGTGTCCCCTGAACCATCCTCTCCATACAGGTGAAGACCTCTCTGGGCAGTGCCTTATGAGCCACAAAAGAAACCTGGTGATGAAGTCTGAGGACCCACACGGTGATGATGGAAGTCTGTGGCCCCACTGTGCTCTGCTCACCCGCAAGGACCACCACACCCTTCCTGTTCCATTGACATCACCTGTTTCCCACCTAGGATGCCTACCTAGGCTGGCTTCAAAATGACAGTGAGGCTTTTGCCACTTCCTTCTTCCTGGTGTTTCCGGAACAAAAAGCTCACAAGCCCTTGTTGTCTTAGGATCCTTACCGCTAACCACCACAGAGAAAGGATGGAGTGACCAAAACAACAAAAATGGGGAAGTTGCACAGTCCAGAAAATCTCACAGAATTCTCAAGGAGAACGTTCCTGGTGAGTTGAGATACTGATGAGACCCCATGGTCTCCTGGAGGAGACCACTCCCTGCCCCCATTCCTACACAGGCAGGGAAAGTTGCTTCTTGTTCCTCATCTAGTCTTCTCACTCTCATTCGCAGGACTGACCTCTACTTGCATCTCCAGACTCTGTTTAGATGCCACCTTCTCTGAGAAACTGCCTCCACCATCTGATTTAGATGCTTTCTCTGTATGTTCTCATAGCAACGTGTATTAATACTTACTACTGCCTGCTGTAATTGTCACCATGCAGTTTTGTCTCTAAGACTAGGCAGCATGCTTTTGTGTGGGAAGGACACTTTTCATCCCTGCTCACTCACAGATATGTAGAATTCTTACTTTTCCCAGTTGTGCCCAAGGCTAATAGATTGCTAAGCTATCACAACACTCCTTTTTGATGATCCCAGAGTCCGCTTCATAATCATTCTCAACCCAGCACTCCAGGGACCAAACCATTATAATTCCCTTATAAAGGGATCCCTTGTGGCTGGTCTTGGGCATTCCCAGGTAGGATGTGTAACTCTGCTCTCTTGTCACCTGATGCTGATCAGTCATTCAACTGACAAGAAGAGAATGAAACAGTGAGTCTATTCTGTGAAAACATACCTGTTCTCCTCAAGAAGAGAAGAGGAACTTGGGAACAATAGGAAGACTTGTAGAATTAAATAAGAAATCAAAGCTTGAGTGTAACTTTCGTTTGGATGAAGACAAATGCAGACTTCTATCCCTCAATCCTGATTGGTGGCTGACACAAGGCATGGGTTCATGAAATCCTTCTGGAATGAGCAGTGTGTGGAAAGGAAGCCAAGGTGTCATCTGATGCTCTCAGTGTCTCAGCTCAGAGGCAGGACACTGCTCATCCGGGATAGGATGACAGAGGCAAATCCTGCAAACCTGTCTGCTTCTAACCAAGAGTTACCACCATCAAGCATGTCTTCATTAAAAAAGGCTGGCTATGGTAGTTCACGCCTGTAATCCCAACATCTTGAAAGCCTGAAGCAGGATTGCTTGAGCCCAGGAATTCGAGACCAGCATGGGCAACTTAGCAAGACCTCACCTCTATAAAAAATTTTAAAAATTAGCCAGGTATGGTGGCCCACACCTGTAGTTCCAGCTACTTGGGAGGCTGAGGTGGAGGGATTGCCTGAGACCAGGAGGTTGGGATTGTGGTGAGCCATGACTGTGCCACTGCATTCCAGCCTGGATGATAAAGTGAAAGCCTGCCTCAAAAAAAAAAGTGTCTTGATAAAAATAAGTTTCAGGCTTCCTTCTTGGTTGACTGTGCGGGGGGGGGGGGGGAATTATCAGAGTCTGGTGATAAAGACAGGGTATCCCGAAGAGTGATGTGATTTCTACATAACAAACCCAAGGAAAGGGATTGTATACAAGGTAGGCAGAGACTGGGGCCTGGTGTTGCGTGTTTGCCAAGTTCCAAGTGTCATGCAATGTGGATGCCAAGGGCAAGGCATCAAAACCCTGTGAAATGGTGGGAGGCGACTCAGTTTGAGGTTATGTGCTTTTCAGCTCCTGTGTCACGGAATTAGTGTGAGACTCAGAAGGCCCAGCTAGTACAAGCCCATGGAATCATCCCTCTCCAAGGAATCATCCCTCATGGCTTCTACTTTCTGCGCATATCTACCAGAGTCATGGTTATTCCTCCAAGGCGAGGTTACATGCACAGGGGCCAAGAAGAGGTTGCCCTGCCAGGACAAATCATCCCAGAGATAACTTTCCCCTTGGCGCTGGGTCTCATATTTGCCCAGCAGCCCACATCCTGTTCTGCCCCAAACCTTGGGGCAGACTTCCCACAGGTTAATTCACACTCTCCAAGATTAAAATCAAGCTTGTGTTCAGGAAGCACTTGGGAGTCTTCAAGGTTCACCTAGAAGGAAGTTGGAAATTGTATCACTAATGTCAGTATGCTTGCCATTGAGAAATAGCCAGAACGCTCATATGGCAATCAATCAAACACACCTAGGTTGTTCCCACAGATTAGCCATTTACTATTAGCAAAGCCTTTCACTTCCTTTATATTGATTTATGACAGTAGTAGAAAGTAGCAATATACCACCCCGGAAGACACGCCTCCTTTTAGCTAGAAGCCTATAAATGTCAAGGAATTTCTATTCAACTGAGAACCTAGCAAAATGGGAACCTCCACGGTCATCCTTGCAGTCATCCTTGAAATGTGTCTTTTATGGGGTCAAGTTCTACCTGCAGGTATTATGTCTAATTATTATATCCACTAATTTTATTCCTGCAAACCCAATCATGGGAAATTTTATCTATTACTTTCTATCTCAAGGAAAGTTCTGTACAAAGGAGGAGGCAGTTCTTTGCTGATAATTGTAACTGTTTGCACATATTTAGAAGGAATGGCTCTTTTTGTTTGGTTTCTGATTAAGAAATACAAATTGTAGTAGTTAGAACAGTTGTTATGTCAATATTTTCAGTAAAGCATTCAGCTAAGTAAATGATTGAGTGGTCTTAGAAAAATCCCTTATGCAAGTTCAGGAAGTTCAGGAAAGGTGTATATGTATTATTAAGAGGCCCTCAAACTTGACCATAATTGACTAAACAATGTGCCGCTATGAAAATGGACAGAAAATATTCCCACTGTAAATGCTTATTACATGACTTTTTTCTGCAGGTGTGTCTGGCTGGATAAAGACCAGATCAAGTAACTGAGACAAGATCATTAAGATTCCAAGTTTGTGTCTGTCACACACTGCTTTAGACAAATGACTTGAAGCTCAGCCACTTGAGCATGGCTCTGTGTTCTTAGAGTGTCAGATGATCAATATGAAAGAGTCATTGGCAAATCACCATGATTGTTGTATCTCAGTGTTGTTTTACTAAGATACCAAGTGAACAAGCGATTCATCAGTATGCTTGTTTTCTCTCTCTCTGTCTCTTTTTCTCTGTTCATCTCTGTGTGTGTGTATGTCTCTCTCTCATCTCTTGGGCATCTGTTATCACTTTTCCTCCCTCCCTTCCCTCTCCCTCTGTTTCTCCTTTCTTCCTTCCTTCTCTCCCTTCCTTTTATTTCTCTCTCCCTTCATTTATTCCTTCCTTCTTGTCTTCCATCCCTCCGTGCTATCTTTTTTCCTTTGGTATCATCTTTTGCTATTTTCGTAAATTTCAGGAGCCATGGTAAAAACCACCTCATCTTCTGATAGCTTCTACGATGCTCACTCTCCCCCAAGGCTAGGCGGGGTAAGTTCTGAAGATAAAGCTTCATTTGGAAGTTTGCTTTCATGAAAGCAGCATCCTAAAACCAAGTTCTCATGCTCTGGTGAAGGGGAGCAGTTGGGCGCCATGTGATGAGTGTGCAGGGTGTGGAGAGACCAGTAGGTCAGCTCACCATGGATGCCCACCTTTCCTTCTTGTCAGGAGGACTTCAGGAGGTGGTGTCGCTGGGAAGTCTAGGGGCTGGAGGTCCTGCCTCCACCAAAATATTTGAAAATGGGAGGCAAGGTCCTCAGCTACGGGTCCTCTCAGAACATCGAACACTCCAGACTGGCTCTGATCAGTGAGTGACATGGCATTCACATCATTCCCTAAAGGACAGGCAATGAATTGCCCTGTCCTATTGTACAAAAGGACAAAAGGCAGCAGCATTCCTGGAGTGAGGGCATTTGTGGTTTTAACATGATGTTATGTTTATGCATTAGCATGGACATGCACACACATATGCCTGTATTTGTAGTTCAGAGGTGGGAATTAACGTTCTACAAAGTGCACCCTGTAATCTCGTATTTAAATCTTTGAAAAACTCCAAAAATTAGGTGCAATGATCTCCATATTTCAGATGGGGTAACTGAAGCTCAGAAAGTTTATATGGCTCTCCAAGGATAGCAGCTGGTAAGTGGCTGAGCTAGGGTTCGAACCTGGATCGAGGTTCACTCAAATTTGAGTGACAGCTTTGGCCTGTTAGCCCTTGCTGCCCTTTGCAGGGAGCCAAAGTGATTAATCATGGCGGTTAGTTTTGTGCTGGGAGAACCAAAGCATTAGACACTTCTCAACTCTGGACTTCACATAGCTCTTGAGAGACAGGCAGTATGCCCTGGTTTGGCTGGGCAGGAGGAGCTGTGATACCTTCCTCTTATCCCTGTGATGTCCTTGGTTCTACCACTTACCAGATGTGGAGCCTCTGTGAGCCTCAGTTTACTCAGTTGTAAATGAGGGTTCCTACTACACAGGGTCGGGTGGGAATGAGATCACCCATGCAGTGTCTGGCACATAGAGCCTCAGAGTCATTCAATGTTACTATTCTAGGCATTTTCCTAATGTTTTTTATCCAAATGTAACTTCCTAAGTGCAATGTGGGATTTTGGATTGGATCCTGGAACAGAAAGGGAAAAACTGGTGAGGTCCAAATAAAGTTTAGAGTTCAGTCAGAAGGAATTTACCAATGTTAATTTGTTAGTTGTGATAAATGTACCAAGAATATGTAAGATGTCAATATTTAGGGAAAATTGGGTAAGGGGATCTATGGGAACTCCCTTGTGGTATCTGTGCTACTTTTCTGTAAAACTAGTATTATTCCAAATATTAGTCTCATTTTATCGAAGTGAATGTTTTGCAAAACGAGAAAGTAATTGATTATAAACTAACTCCTGGCAGACCGTCACATCTACCCTTTCAGCAGTTTAGCTGGGGTTTGGGCAGTGATTAATGCCTTAAAAAGAAGGAGAAAATCTAATGGAGAAGCTTTCAGATATTATGAGGATATTTGTAATGTGGGTAACATTTGGATCAGGGAGGCTCTTCTAAGACACTTGCATAGCGGCCACACAATCTAATTACTCTTCCACACAGCTCTCCTTTCTTGAACTCGTCTTTATTGCACAAACACCCCACTAGGCCTTATGTAACCTGGTCAGGTCTAGGAAAAGGCCCCACCTTGGCCAAATTCAAGGCCACAACCTGGCATTGGGGATCGCGTTCCTGCCCACCGTCTTCTGTAGCCTGTGCCTCTCCACATGCTGCTTGGCCAATACCCACTGCTCCCCACATGTTCCTTGCTGTTTTCTCCCACCTGATTTTATTTGTTCTGCCTGTTTTCCAGGATGACTTGCAGGTCGCTGTCTTGTATACAAAGCAACCAGCACTTCCCGCCTCCTGCACTCCAGTAGCACCTGCCTCTAGTCACAGACACGTCATATAGGCTGTTCTTGATATCTGGAACACAGTCTTATTCTTGTCCTCTTCCCCCAGACCTTCACCTAGCTGGAACTGGAGCTTCTTAAATACTTGGAATGGTGTCCCATGTGGGAATCATTCCCTAATGTCTATGCTTAACACACACACACACACATACAGACACACACTCTCACACACACACAACATACACATACAGGAAGATACATACACGGCACAAACACAAACATTCTCACGCACACTTTTCACAGACACACATGCAGAAACAATCATACACACAGAGAGACTTAATTATACATACACACACTCACACACATACATAAACACACAGACACACTCATACATACATCTCACACACAAACACAGATATACAGACAAGCTCACACACAGAGACATATTCCTATATACACACATTTACAGATACAGACACACACAACAAACATGAGGACATATGCATACATACAGACACAGACAAGTATACACACAGATACATACAGAGACAGATGTAGACACAGACACACAGAGACAGATGCACACAAGGACATAAGGCACACACACACGCAGCATATCAGCCAATGTACCACAGTAGTCTTCTACAGCGTCTCACCTAGAGCTTGCCTTTTATACTAAACTGTCTGTGGGTATTTCTAGGGATCCAGCTATTCTGGAAGTCCCTGGAAGGCAGGAACCGTGCATGGGCACTATGTGAGCATGCCCTTAGTAGTCAGCTCGGCATCCTGGGTTCCCAAGAACCTAACAGAGGGCCTGGCTCACCTGACCATAGCAGAGCAGCCTGAGGGATCCAGGTGCCAGGCCCTGGCATGGCAGGAGAACTGTCATGGCCGCCAGCCACTCCAGCTTGATGCCTGCCTGCCAGGACTTGAGAAGTATTTATATATATACGAAGGAAGACCCCCAAATCCCCAGAATTTATTTATAAGAAATTGTGATTTATTCTTATGCATTTGAACTTCAGTCACCTTCAAAGTACTCTCCATTTGCCGCCATACACCTCTTGAGATGCTTTATGAACTGCTTATAACAGTTTTTGAAATTGCCAATTTTGATGCCTTTCAGGACTTCTGCTTTTTGTTTCACCTCTTCCACATTGGCAAAATGTTTCCTTTTGAGGACTTTTCTCATCTATGGAAACCAAAAATGTTACTCTGGGTGAGATCAGGAGGGTGGGGCACTGGGTCATATGCCATTTTTGGTTAAAAACTTCCGAACACGCAGCGCAATGTGGGCAGATGCACTTGTAAATCACCCACCACAAAATGGGAAAACATTGAAAGAATCTCCAGAAAAAATTCCCTGAAGCCAAGCGCAGTCTCTCACAACAACACTAGATGGCATAGTGATGCCCATGGGTTCCAGAACACTTGCCCAATGGTGGAAACCTATACTCCAAGGGGCCCACCCTCTAAAAGATCATTTCATTTTTTGGGGGGGGTCACCACTCATATATTTTATAAGTAGCTAAACATACTATCAGGAACAATATGAACACATCCACATCATTACTGCATCTTATTATTTTTAAATGATTTACTTTTTTGACAAGTTAAAATGGAATCTCATTATTTTAACTTGAATTTTGAGAGGCACCATAGCAGAGTCATACAGTACACTTGCTCTGGGAGTCAGGGTGATTGACCTCAGATATTTGTTTTACTACTTATAAACTGTGCTGCCTTTAACAAGTCATTTACTCTCTCTAAGTCGTGGGTTTCTCATCTATAAAACAAATGTATATAATAATCCTTCCACCAAAGATCCAGTGAAGACAAAATGAAACACTACACAGATAGCACTTAGTTCAATGCCTGGCAAATGGCATTGGCTAAGGAAAACATGTTCCTCCTCTCCTTCTCATCTTTCTACTTTGTCTCGTCTTCCACTTTCTCATTCTCCTCTGCTTTGCCTCATGAGTTAGCCTCATTTTGTTTCTTTATCTTCAATTTATCTTTCAACCTTATTCTTTTCCATTAGGGTATAACCAAAACTCTTCCCCAACCTAAAGGAATCTACCACCCTATCATCTCCCACATTCAACTTCAAACCACAACTTTTGTGCTGTAGAAAATGGAGAAACGAGAGAAGACTAGAGAAAACTGACAGACACCCATAATCCTTTTACCTAAGATTGCCATTGTTAAGATGTGGTGTATTCCTTTCAAGTTATATATGTATGTCAGTGCTATCATTTAATATACAGGTTTTCTAGAATGTATAATTCTAAATATTTTAATATGCCATTCACAGTTTTTGAACATTGAGGTTGTTTCAGGTTCCTTTGTGTAATGAAAAATACTGTGAAGATCATCTATGTCTATGAATTTTTGTCTGTTATAAAAATCATTTTCCTTGACTAGATTCCTGGAAGAGGAGTTACTGAGTCAAAGGATTGATCATTATTAGGCCTTTTAATGCACATTGATAAATTATTTTTCCAGAAATGTATCAGTTCTTACTCCTACCAGTAAAAAACAAGACTAACAATTTTCATACTTTCACCAATTCTGAAATTATTGTTCAAAAATTTTGGCTGAGTTGCTGGCTGAAAAATGACATACAGTCATTTCAATGTGCGTTTCTTAGCTTATAGTAAGGGTGAACATTTTAAAGTCATTTGTATTCCTTTCCTTGAATTGTCTGTTTATATTCTTTGTCCAACTATTTTTTTGAAAGTTTGTATATTCTTTATTGATTTATATACACTTTCTCTATATTTTGGATAGTTACTCACATCATTATATTTTCCCAGTTTATTGTTCACCTCTTAAATTGGATTTTGATTTTTGTCTGCGCATATTTTTTATACTTTTATGTAATTTAATTTTTTGTGATTTTCCTTTATGATTTCTTTTATTAATTCTAAAACTAGAACTGTCTAATAGAAATCAGTTAAACATGTAACTAGCTTTTTTATTTTTGTGTACTTTAAAAATATTTAATTTTTTAGTTCTAAAAATTATTTTGCTTCAGGTATGAAGCAACTATCTGAATTAGTTTTTTCTATATTTTAATTTTATATCTTTATGTTTAATGTTTTTGAGTTAATAATAATTTTTTGAATGCTGACTACATGGCAAACATTGTACTGAGCACTTGATTTTGTCTTTACAATAATCTTATGAAATAGTATAATTATCCATTTACAGAAGAGGAAACTAAGCTTGATGAGGGTAGATGACTTGCCTGTGTTTAGAGAAAGAAAGCAGTAGAACTAGAACTTGAAACAAGGCCACCTGTCTTTCAAGTTCAAGGGGAATGTGGGGGCCCCGGTCCCATTCCCACCTCCCTCACCTTTTGCCCCATTAGCACTTTTAATTTTTCAGGAATGTATCACTCATTTTTAGCCTACTTATTTTTTCTGATAAACTTTAGAATTATTTCTTAAAGATTTAATCAAAGAAAAACCTCTTGATAATATTATGAATTAGTTTATAATAATCAACACTTCTATGTTCAGTGTTTCTATCCAGAAACCTGGTTCACCTCTATCAGCCAGGAGACGGTCAAGAAGCTTTGCTTAGGGTTTATAGTTTTATTCTCTGGAGGATATTTTGAAGGAGCAACTTATTCCTAGTGTCTCTGCTTCCTCAGTGCCAATTTTAATCTGTATCTTCTCCTCTGCCTGGCTTTGTTCTGCTTGCCCTTCCTGGTGGAGCTCAGTAATTGCCTGCCATGAGGCAGACGTGACCTGCTGGACTCCTGGACATCTCTCAATTGGAGCCCTTCTTTTGCTGTGCTCTGATTGCTTACCTATATGTCTCACCCACTAGAGCAAACTTCCAAAGGGTAGTGGAGGCATTGCATAATCTCAATATTCCTCCTGCCTTGTGGAAAAGCACCCAGTAGATGCTCAATAAGCGTCAGGGACTGAGCCTTATCTTTTAGGATGCGTTGCCTCCTTTCTCCCCGATTTAATGCTTCACTTGCAGTCAGTATATCCCCTGAGTGAGTTGATTAACAAAGGACAAGTGCAGCAAACCCCCAAAGCGAAGTGTAATGCAGCCTCCCCTGCTTGAATTAACAAGGGCATTAGACTTAACTCTTGTTTTCAGAGGACCTCTCATGTGGTTTTTTTTCTTTGTAGTTTCAACAACAGTAATAATGGAAGACACCACAGAAGCCACTCTTAGGGAGACGCAGATGACAACTGGTAACACTATATCGAAACTCTGGGGCTGGATGGTTGTGGTGCCCAAGGCCATCCCCGTGGAATCAGGAGGGACCTCTGCGGAGAGTCTTGCCGGGTTTTAGATGCAGGACGGGAAGGACCTCCTCTGATGGGGTCACTGGCCTCGGGCTTTCAGCCCTCTCCTCCTTCCTATTGACAGGCCCTGAGCCTCCACGCCTACCTCTGCCCATAAACACCCCTTGCCTGTGTTCTCTGGCCCCAGGCTGTGTCCAGTGAGGATTGTCCCCAGTCACCAGGAAAACAGAGGCACATGGGAACTGCAGCATTTAACTAAAGACATTTGTCAATCGTCTCTTATTTTTTTTTTCTTCTTTTCTAGAATTTTTAACAGCTCCTGAACATTCTGCCTCAGTTAATACTTCAAATGGTAACTTCTTTTACTCAATATTTCTTCAACTTATTATAGATCTCTGTGTGTGTATGCGAGTGCCTATTTGTATAAAAGCACAAACTAGGAGTTGGATCAAATAGTTCACATGTTAAAAAAAAAAAATACCAAGAGGCAGATAAGTGGAATGGTTAAGAGCAACTGCCTCAGCACAAATCCTGCCTCTGTCACTTACTAGTCAGTTGAACCTTAGGTAACCTTCTTGAGCTCACTTTCTCCACAGGGTTGTGTCAAGAACTGACTGAGATGATACATGTAAAGCTCTTGAATATGATCTTAGGTTCCCAAGCTAGGAAATGCTCAAAACCATCTGCCTTGATTAAACTTTCAAAGTTTGAGCATGAGTGAGGAAGGAGAAGAGGTCTCAGGAGTATGGAACTGTGAAGCACAGGGTTGCAGGCATTTTAGAAGCAAATCTATCTCTCCTGTTGACACCTGGAAAATTGCCCTACTTTCTGAACGGAGCCTGTCTGGACCAGTTCCCATCAGAGTGCTGGCATCATGCTGGGCACTTCCATTGGTGTGAGAGAGGACTTCCCATGGGCAGGACCAGCCAGCTCTTCATAATTGGAACCTGACTTGAGAGGTCAGGCTAGAGGCAGAGTGGGACCTGAAGGCGACGTCACCACAAAGGCCCCTCAAGACACAAGGCTGACCAAACTCTACTGAAGAGTCAGGAAAGTTGAGCTTATTAAGTTCAAATATTAAAACATGCAAAGGAATCCGTGTTTCAGATTGTCAAGTGTTTATGGGGTCTTTGTCACTGAGTAGGGCTCTGGATCTCACATAAGCCTGGGACCTTGTCCCTTTGAAGGGACAGAGCAGTGAATTCTCTGTACTTTCCTCTAGATTTGGCCCTGAGGCTGGTGAATGGAGGTGATCGGTGTCGGGGCCGGGTGGAAGTCCTGTACCAGGGCTCCTGGGGCACAGTATGTGATGACTTCTGGGACATCAACGATGCCAACGTGGTCTGCAGACAGCTGGGCTGTGGCTGGGCCATGTTGGCCCCAGGAAGTGCCCGATTTGGCCAGGGCTCAGGACAGATTGTCCTGGATGACATGCGTTGTTCAGGACATGAGTCTTACCTGTGGAGCTGCCCCCACAGTGGCTGGCTCTCCCATAACTGTGGCCATGGGGAAGATGCTGGTGTCATCTGCTCAGGTGGGCATCTAAGAGATAATGCAAATTATGTAGCACATGGAAGAGTAATAATAGTAACTAAACCTGTTTCTCTCTAAACCTTGGTTTCTCCATCAGAAAAGTGGAAATAATAATAGTATCTTGAACAAGTTATTTTACCTCTAAGTGCATCAGTTTACTTCTCTATAAGCCAAGGGGAAAATCCTACCATTGGGGGTTGTCATACAAACAAAATGAGATAATGTTGGTGAAATACTTAAGGCAATGACTGGTAGAAATTGCATAGTCAGTCTTCATGATCATTATTAGTCTAGTACCTAACATTGCGTGTCGTGTGCCTGTTAGTATGGTAAGAATTTCACCTACATTTTTTCATTTAATTCTCCCGAAGCCCTTATGAAGTGTAGTAAGTCTCAATATGCCATCATCTCTGCTGTTTTGTGGGAAAGCAGAGGCATTTTCATGTCCTACTGCTCCTGTCAACACATCACTTGACTTTTGGGGGCTAAATGACCAAGTGCCTGCTAATCTGTGCTTTGAGCAATTTCATTCAGTTAGCTGAGAATTACTAAATGAATTCAAAGCCTTCAACCTTAGCTCCTCAAGTGCATAAATACAAGCTGGTTAGGCTAAATTTTCCCAAAGAAATAAGGAAAGCAATGGGTCCTACATTTTTTCACAAGCCTAACTTGCTTTTCTAGTGATGAAAAGTTAATTTCTACTTCAATAACAAGGAAATATCTAGAGCAGAAAATATGCAGAAGTCAGTGCACAAATTACTACAGAGGATTTCATTGAACATGTTTTTAAGATATTGAGAGTCACTTTTTAAATCACCACATATCCTGGAACTAGTTTAGCATTTTGCTTTCTATACACTAGAGACTCCAGAAATCTTTATCAATTTGAATTATCTTTCAAAAACAGATTACATATCTGTTGATGATGATTTATGTGTAGTTGCTATAACTCTATTTCACAGTCAATTGTATTGGTTCAAAGGTGGGTTTCTTGGTCAGGATTCCTGTGAGTGAAACACACATGTCTGATTTTTCTTTTATTCCTTTACAGTTTCTGAGTCAGATCATCTCACAACACCTAGTAAGTATTTTGAAAATAATATCCTGCATTAGTTTATAATGTATTTTTTTCAATCTCTACAGTTGTTCATATCTTAGGGATAAATGCTGTCTCACTGAACTTTAATGAATGGTATAAAGACTGCATAAGAGTATGATTTATGTCCTTTCCAGTAATACAAAGGCAAAAGAAATTTCTTTCAGTCGTAGCATAAATAGACATGAGGTTATACAGTCACATTCCTTTTCAATTTTATCTTGTCTCTGCCTCAAACTTCAGTGTACATCAAAATCGACTAGAGTATTTGTCTGAGTGCAGATCCTTGGCTTTACCTCACTTCCTTCAGAGACCTGATTTAGAGAGTCTGAGGTGAGGCTCAGGAATCTGCTGTTTTATAGAACCACACATAAGGATTATTTCAGACCACACTGTGAGAAACCTTCCTGCACAGCCCAGTGCTGAATTCGACTTTTGTGCTTGTAATACAATGATGGAAGTATCATTTTGCTAAGAATTTACAAAGAAAGTGACAGAAGATACTTGTATGTGATATATATACTGCCTATTTTGGTTTATGGTCAAGTTCATTTAAGTTTTTAATATTGTCCCAAATGGTCCTTGGCTACAGCATAAGTTTGACTTGTTGATAGTAAAGACTTTCTCATAAGCAGATTGTGAACTTTTAACTTTTAACACTGACCTCTTAAAATGGTCTCAACATCCTTGCCAGCACATTTGGCAAAACCCAGTCCTCCCGGGACCCCTCTAAGCAGGAAAGACCCCAGCTCTTCATTGTCTTGCAGGGGGTATTGTCCTCCACCTTCGATGACTTATGGCCTCATGGAGAGATAGACACGTCAACTGATCATATAGGTACAATAACAAGTGTGAACAGTGCTGAAATGAGAGGTATATGGTAGGAGAGATGTGAGCAAGCTGTCAGGGACAGCAGCTCTGAGGAAGCTGGTCTAAGCCGAGGTTTGGAGCAGGTGCAGGAGTGGCTAGGCAGAGCGGGAAGAAGAACATTTGCCTGTTGCTCCCTGGCTCTGCTGTAGGCAATTTGAAAGAAACAGACTTAGATTGACTGTAGTCACCATCCTCCAGCAGCTGTATACTCCTTTCTTCCTGCTCAGTCACCCTAATGTGCTATCTAGTCAGGGTGGTGCCCTGATGGGAGGCTCTCTCTAGGTCCCATTTCCATATCTTTGTCTTTGATACATTTTCTGAAGCTCTACAGAAAAGACTTCTCCTCAACAAAGTTTTGGAAGTATTGCCTGCCTTTGGCGGTAGGATGATGTTTGTTTTTGAGGGCAAAGGGGCGAAGAGTAGGTGTGTGCACAGCTACACTCAGATTCAGTTCTATGTTTGTCTTCTATGTTTGTCTTCTAAGTCCTTGTCTAAGACTGGAGGGTGACAGTGGAGGCAAGTCTGCAGACTTCGTTGATGAGGATATCTCATTCTTGGTCATGTCTCAAATGGACGTGTTAAGCAATGAACCATCTAGTGCGACATCCACTTTGTGGCATCTTCTATCTCACCATCCTGTCAGGCTGCCATTCATTTGGGGACACTGAGACTCCATAGTGAGAGCTCAGGTGAGGCTCCCATACACATAATCCTTAAGCCCCATGGAGATAGGGCAGAAAAGAGATTACCTGAGAGGATGAAATAACCTGTGTGCTTGTGATAAATGAAAAGGAAGCACTTACCATCTTCTTAAAGATGAAAACTGCCAGGATCAAAGTAATCTCATCTGGAATGATGCTGCAATAAGGGAAAGCAATATAGAGTCCTAGGATAGTGGATGACCTCCCACCGAAGCCCCACCTCTGGTGGGTTATAGAAAGTGAGTTGACATGGACCACTGTCCTTGCATCAGTAAGGACAGTAAGGAGTGGGTTGGTAGCAGGCAGTGGCTGTTACAAAAGAATGATGGTTAAAAGTGTAGACAGGAAAGTTAGAGTCTGTACGCCCTTGTCTACTTCTATACTTTCTGTACCTCAGTGTTCTCACTTGTAAGTATGGATGACAGGGTTGGAGGGAGAATTAAAGAGATAATACATATGAATAGCAAGATACAACATTGTCTTCAAGAAATCTGAAGCCATAGTAAGTCTTCAATAAGTGTTTGCTTAAGTTCTCTTCCCAGAGTGCTCCTCCCTTAGGCCTCTCTCCTAGCATTGCTGGAGTAGCCTATCTGGTAGACATGGGCTAGCTTGATGATACCTTGGTTGTTCTTATGCTTAAGCACTTCTTCAGCAATAAATACACAATAGGTCCATTTCTTTTGAGATTTGTGGCAGAGGCTGACTCCAGATGGAAAAGCACCAGATCCCTTGGAAAGTGCATAGGTCTTTTTGGAATACCTTGAAAGATCTCTTTGGGGCTTCCCCCTGACCATGTAACTATCTTGAATACTGATCCCCAGTGGCAGAAACCAGCCTATATCCATTTCCTGGAAAACAAACAAGTGGAAGATTCTCTTTTCAGGTAATATACCACCATTTCTAAAATGGGAGTCAGAGTCATTGACAACCATGTAGTTGATTATTGGAAGAATACACGTTGCTCTCAATCTGTGCAAAAGAGTCTATTCAGAATGTGTGGACATAGCACAACAGAAACAATTCAATGCTCTATTCAGTGATATGGATGAGCATTGTCAAGACTCTGGAGCTCAGAGTTTCTGAGTTGGATGCAGAGCCTGGCTTTGATCACGACTAAGCAAGATACCTGAGGCCTGGCAGTGGGAATTACATGGTGCCATCAGAACTACATTTAAATGGCAGAGTTTTGAATGGCAGGCTCTCTCAGCCATGTCTGTTAGCGTGTCCTTTGGTATGGGAGCAGGGATGGCATGTCAGAAATGAGGCAGGAATGTTCTGGGGCAGATGATTCCCAGTTTTCTGTCTCTTTTGAAGGAGGACGCTGGCTACCTGTTTTTATTTGAATTTCTTCTTCATTTTCAAGGGTGTGTAGCCAGATGGTTTCAGTGGCCCTCTTCCTAAGCCACCATCAACAGGAAGAAGGGCAAGGGAAGGAGTCTTTTGCAGATTTCACATGCAGATTGTTAAGACAGTCAAGCAGTTCACTTACATATGCGGCAAGCCCTTTCACTGGCCTGCTGGTTCTGCTAGAAAATTCAAATCCCTGAACCATGACTGCTGCTCCTGGTGGGACCTGCATTTACAAAAAATCTGAGAAGTTGAGCATGGTGATATATGCCTATTGTCCCAGCTACTTGGGAGTCTGAGATGGGAGGACTGCTTGAGCCCAGGAGTCTGAATCCAGCCTGGACAACAGAGCAAAGCCCTGACATTAAAAAAAAGAAAAAAACCCCTGAGTTTATCAAATACCTTCATCCTCATATCAGGAAGTAAGAAAAAAAGTTATGAAAGCAACTATATTAGAAATGTTAATAAGAATTTAAACAGAGCAGATCCCTTTATATCACAGAGAGTTTTGCATATAAACATCATAAAAGATGAAAGAGCACCATCTCATGTCTTTATAGCAAAATAAAATGGTCTAAGTACTCGGTGGAAAATACCATGTGATGAAATCCCCGTTGAAGTGGGTTAGAGCATCATACTTTATTTTTGTCCTCATAATTGTTTTACTGACTCCTTGATTCTTGAATTTGAGAAATTCATCTAGGATATCATCATCTGAAGGCTCATAGTCTGAGATTTCAGTTGTACAATGAATTAGACTATTATTAGAATCTGGAGTGCTGCACCCTGTCTCTCTGCATTCCTCTTCTGGTTCATCTAATTATTGTGAAATATCTTCCTTTGTCAGATTTCTAGTTTTTAATATCATAAGCAGAAAATGGAAAATTCTGCATTCAATGAAAGTTAAAATCAGACCTCAGAGACACCAAAACCAAAAAACTTTCTTGAAAGATAATACAACACTTTGGACACTGAAGAATTGTTGTT